GTGTGTGTGTGTGTGTGTGTGTGTGTGTGCATGTGTGTCTGTGTGTGTCTGTGTGTTTGATTTTCCCTACTTTACAGGCAGAGAATTTTCCAATCTCTTTTGCTGGCTCCTAATTATCTTCTAAATCTTTAAAGGTTGGAGCGCTCCATGGCTCAACTATACATCTCTTCTTTATCTCTACTTACTCCCGAAATGAGTCCAACCTCATGTCAGGACCTTAGAAACTATCCATACACAGGCACATCACAGACTCTGATCCCTAACCTGGACTTACATATTCAACTATCTATATAACACTTCCACATACATGCCTTATAGGCACCTCACACTCAACATGTTCAAAATCAAATTCTGAATTTCCACACAAAATGCCATCCTCCCATATTTTTTCCCATGTATGTAAATGGAAACTCCATTTTGCCACTTGCTCAGAAGAAACATTTTGGAATCCTCTTCGAATCTTTTCTTCCCTTCACACGTAGCAGAAAATCTCATTGCTTCTACTTTCAAACTGTACCTGGAATGTAATTATTATCCCCACTGCTACTACTCTGGGCAGGTTACCACCAACTCTCAGATTATTGCAATATGTTCACCATTCTTGGCCTTTTGCTTCTGTCTCCCCAGCTCCTATCCACACATTCCATTCTGTATCCAAGACCCGGTTTGTTTCCACATTGAACTTAAACCATATTATCTTCTGCTCGAAAGTGTCCAACATCTTCCCATCTGACCACAGATAAAAGGCAGATCCTTACAGTGGTTCACAAGCTACGTGTGATCAGCCCTGGGTTCTTCCCTCACTCCCTCTGCTTCCATCCTCCCTTCAGCACTCTTTAGCCACACTGGCCTCCTGACTTTTCCTCAAACCTGCCACATCCTCTCAAACCTCAGAGCCTATGCCCACTGCCTGGAAAACTTTTTCCCTACACAGCTACATGACTCAGACCCTCACTTTCTTCAGGTTTCTGCCAAATGTCTCTTTATCAGAGAAGACTTTCCTGTAGGTCTTTTAAATCATACCCTCTCACAAGCTTCCTATTCCAAGTCCCAGGTTTTTCTCTGCAGCATACCAGATTATCCCCCAACATATTGTATGTTGAGTTTTTATTGTCCGTCTCTCTCCTGCTAGAATGTAAACTCTACAACAGTGACTTTGTTGTGTTCCCGGATGTATCTATAGCATCGATTGTCATATGAATGAACAAGCTGCTGAATACAGGAACTGAATGTTTGTCCCCATCAAAATCTATCAGTAGCATTAGGCCCCAGGCATAAGCTTGTCAACCTCAGGGTCAAAGCTGTGTCATAACACCCTGTTGCTTTTTCCAAAGAGAAAGATACTGAACACCTTGAGGAAAGTC